GGCGCGGGCGGCGGCTCTGCCCTGCCCCTCCTACCATGCCCGCAGACCACTGGGCCTGATCTGCAGGTTGGTCGCAGGTCTGCCTACCTTGCGGGCGCGGGCGGCGGCCCCGCTCCTCCCTTCTGGCTCGACAACAAAGCAAGAGAGACTCAGGTATCTGTGACTCACCCTCCCTACCAGGAGACCAACTGTTTCCGTCGCCGCTGGCACCGATGAAGTTCTCTCCTCGGCCGCTCTCCGATGACATCAGATCTCTGCCATGCTGGCATCCCCTGCAAACAGCGGCATCTCATTCCCTCCACCGGTAGACCAAAGCAACGGGTGAGTCCCGACCGGCCCCCACAGGCCCCGTCTCAGTCCTGCTGCCACTGCCCATGAAGGCTCGGTTGGCATACACCTCCACAGTACTCAGCAGGACCCGGACCAAGAAGCAGTCTCCGCGGGCTCCTCAGCCCTGGGCCAGCGCAGTTCCAGGAGCCGGAGCTCGGCCTCTCCGTGCTCGGTGTATGCTCTGATAAGAGCAGGCTCCAAGAAGCAGTTTCCACGGGTTGTTTAGCAATGAGCCTGAGTAATTTGTCTGCTAGCCACAGGCGAATAGCAGCCTGAAATTACCTGTTCTATGGCTGAATCCCATTTTCTTCTCTTCCAGTAGGCGGAGCTGTGCCCTCCGAGCCGAGCTTCTGCCCTCTATGTGCTGACAGAAATCCCTGTAAGGCGGCTCCTGGGAGTCTCTCAGTCCTGTTAGTCCAGAGCCCTTTCACTTATCCGGCCCCTCCCCCTGTTCCTCCTCCCAGCCAGCCAGGTCCTGTTCACCAGAGGCGGTTCCCCAAGGATCTGATTACACTTGCAGCCCCACTGCGTGTCCTATATCCCGAACAATGAACACCCTCTCTGTCATTCATCTAAGCCCCAGTGCTGTGGTGGGGTGATCTGGGAACCAACAGTTTAATTTTTCCGGACCCCTTTTGTGGGCACGCCCCCAGAAACTGGTGGCTAAGATCTTGGGTGTCGCCGCTGGTGTTAAGGGGAGGTGGGGATCGGGAATCCCCTCTGCTTCCCTAAAGACACGCCCCCGGAGAGAATCCCGAGGTTTCCTGGCTGCTTGTATCTGGAGGGTGTGGGAGTCACACACCTGCTAACATGGATTCCGCTGGGAAGGAATTCCGTCGGCGGAACTCCGGTGATGTCACCTCTCTGCTATGGCGGGCCCCAGGCTCCTTGCCAGAGTGTCCAAAGGGAGGGGTGGGACTGGTCTGTCTCTGGTTGGTTTCAGCTCCCGGTTCGCTATTTCATGAAGGCTTGGCGAGAGACCTCTTCCTAGAGTACCTGCACCGCTCCTGCTGTGCTGCGCCTCGGAGGCTATCCGTGCATGCAGGCAGCCGACAGTCGCCAAGTCGCGCGGGCAGCGGCTGGCGGGTCTGGACCTCTGCGCTGCGTGGCGGAGATTCACTCGTCTGGGGCAAACTGTCACCTCCAAAAATCCTACCAATTCCCGGCCGGTCTCTCTTTAGTGGAATTTTGCTAGGAGTTTCTCAGCAGGTCGAATCTAAGCGTATCAATGCGTCTCTCTGACCCTGTTATTGAGGAGGTACTGAAAGCGCTGCCTCCCCACTAGCCGCCATGTTGGATCCCTCTCTCCTTTTTTAAATCTTAAGATGGGGAGTTTACTGGAATTATCTAGCCCTTATGTTACAGGGAGCAAAAGTCTTCCTCACTTTTTCTTAAGCCCATGACATTTCTGTTTCTACAAGGGAACCAGTTCACTATCTCTAACCTTTTAGATATTACAGATAAAACAAAGGAGATTCAGCCCAAGGCTTGCAATTTTAAAGCAAAAAAGAGTCCCAAGATTTACTTGAAAATCCCAACAAAAGAATATCTTTGGAAAAATGTCATTTTACATCTTACATCTTACTATTTTTTTTGCTAGTTCATATTCACCAAACACTCCAGCTTCACAAAGAAATTTGTTTTTAAATTAAGAAGATTGAGGAAAGGGAATAAACATAAGGGATAAAATATCCAAATACCTTTGCTTGTTAAGTACAGTATAATATATGATTCCTTTGTAACCATGGTGAACCATGAAAACCTGTCTCTGAAGTAATCATTTGAAATGTAAGCTACGTGATGATAAAGGTTAACATTTTGGAAAGAATGTTTTGTCACGAAATGATTTTATGCCAGAATTCAAACTGGAAAAAACAGAGAAGCTGGGTAGTTCATTGGTAAGGGAGGCATTCTTTGGCACCAGTAATAGAGAAGGTTTATAATCTCTGCTCGACAACTATGATGAGGCAATGTGAGGACAATGGATTATGGTTGTCCAGAGTAAATACAGATGAAATGTTCTCATTCAAAATAAATGGATATAGGGCTGGGCATGTAGCTCAGTGGTAGAGTGCTTGTCTAGCATGAGTAAGGCTCTGGATTTCTTCCCAGTATCAAAAATAAAATAAAATAATGGCATAAAATAAAATGATCAGGAATTAGAAAGCAGATACCTAATACTTGCAGGGTTTCCATTCTTCTACAATGGAGAGAAAGAGAAGTAGTAGGAAAATTACTGAGAGAAAAGACAGAAAAACATCAGCAGCATCATCACAATCTTTCATCAAAGCTTGGCTTTTACTGAGCAAACCCTGTTAGCTGTTAGGCATTCTTCAAAGCGCTTGCCTTTGCTTATTTAATCTTCACCGTTGCCCTCTGAGTTTTTCACAGTTTAGAAAACTGGAACACAGTCTGGTGCTGATCTCGTAGTGAAAAGCCTGTTTCTCTGTGTACATCTTGCTTAGAAACCATTTGAAGCAAAAGAAAGCAATTATGAGTTCAGGAACAGGTGGTGGAAGGTGGAGAGTTGAAATTGGCTACTACTAATGAAACAGAATGGAATCCTCCTTTATCTATAAATAAATAATTTTTAATTTGGGGGCACAAAAATCCAGGAATAGATTTAGTGATAATAAATTGTAGCTAAAACTGTTAGCTATATAGGCATTTCTTTGTACCTAAACTTCTTTTAAAATGGCTCTTCATAGTATTTCTTCATGGATTTTTCACATTTCCTAGGCATTTTATTCATAGAAATACTCTAACATGATAATTTAATCATTGTATGGCAAATTTTACTTATCTGATAGTATATTTGCAGAACAGTAAAAATTCTTACCGAAACTTCCTTTAAAAATATTCCATAGTACAAAAGGTAGAATCTTTTTATTTCTGCTTAAAAAATTATCAGAAGTGCATTTATTCAAATGAAAGTGATACATCTAAAGCTTAAGAAAATGAAAGATAAATAGTTCATAGTGGAAAGGCATATAGATTGATATGAAAACACTTTTTTTTTCTTTTTTGGTGTCAGAGATTGAACCAGGGGTTTGATCATATGCAGACACTTTGTGATGTATTCACTTTCACTTACATGGTAGGTGCATTATTATGTTTTAGTTCCACGCCTCCTTTCAGCCATATTCTACCAGATCTGGTAAAGGGATTTCAACTCACAGGCCAACCTCTGACCACAGAGGGCAGACCAGATGGCCGGGTAGAGACGGATTCTAAGGTTACCTCTGGAGTTAAGGAGAAAGACTATCATAATTGGCTAGTCCAGTTTTTTATGGGCACAGAAATCCAGAGGGTTTATGGCACACTCCAGGGGTTTGTCCACACTGTCATTTCTGGCACTACTTCTACATACCTCTAATAAATACACTTCTGTGTACATCCAAATTTTGGGCAAAGTGTAAGCGGAAAAAAAAATAACATTTGGGTATTTCCGTAAATACAAGTGAGTCAGCAATAGCAGCATTACAATGGATGTTTGTTAGAAGATAAGTATAACACTCATTCTTTGAAAAAAGGTTGTCAAAGTACATCACAGGGAAAGGCAAAAATCACTGAGCAAATAGGAAATGAAAGAACAGAGTATGTGAAACTGACTTTGAAGCAAAACTGTTTCTACCAACTGGAAAGGGTACATTATTCTGCCCTTATCCAAGATGTGAAAAGACTTACAATGATTTAAAAACAACATCACTACCACAAAAACCTGGCTGCCTTATTTACAATAACTTGACCCTAAAAATGAAAACTAAAAGACATTTTTCATCTTTTTGTAAGCTACAGTGGGGTCTAAAAAGATTCATTTGTATCCCTTTAGATTAAGTAGCATATGGAAAAAGAGTCCAAGAAATAAGTCTTTGTAACAAAGTGAGAAAAGATGGGTGATTGTTATTTCTCAAGGAAAACTGTTTATTTCCAGTTATAATCTTTATTTCTTGGCAAAGAAAATCTAATATGATAGGTTCTCCAACTTTTGTAATAACACTGGAGGAGAGTCATATTATGGACTTGGTGGCAGGTATTTTATTAGTGCCTTTGTGCCCTGTGCACATTAATTTTGGCTGTCCCAAGCCAAGAAGTTTAAGACATCTAGTTCAAGATTCTTGGTTGTCAAAACTAGCTAGAGTTATATGAACAGAGTCATCCCTCAGAAGCCGGACAGACTTCGTTGGTGTGCAACTTGTGTAGTCACAGATGGGACTGTACTTAACATAGACCCAACATTTGGAAAGACCCTGCTTTTGAGTGAGCACACTCTTGGTTTGAAGATCTTCCATCACAGTCTTGAAATTCTTAATAACTGTAGACCAAGAGTTCCTTCATTTGATTTTAACATTGGGCCTCACAAATGATACAGCCAAACTGAAAGGTGCACGGAGGGGACAGAGTGGACCTCAGGATCATTTGTGAGATGTTGAATTCCTTAACAAGATCATTTTTATAATTCAACAGAATGTAAAATAGTGCGATATTAAATTAAACACATTAAAACACATTGTTTCTGTACAGCAGAGAACATAAAACACTTAAAATTGATGAGTGTCATGAATATTTTATGTAGACAGATCAGACTTCTAGATTTTCCTCATAATTTGTTCACTCTTTCCTAAAACAGCCTTAAGTATTTAGTTTCATCTACAAACTCACAGTCATACCTGAGTTCCCATGTTAACTCCCCAGCAGCTCTCATGCAGTGATTCTAGATTTTTTTGGTTTTCTTATTCATTTATTTGTCTTTGGTTTTGTTCATTTGTTTTGGTAACCTTTTCTGGAGACTCTAAATGGAGAAAAGAAAAGGGTTTAACATTACAACTCTGGGAGTAGCTATTGTTGCTTCTATTCTTCTTGGGGGATGGGGGAAGAACAGCTATCCACTAAAACAACAAACAAACTTTGTAGTCTAGAAAATTTTTAAAGTAGAAAAATAGCATTAAAAAGAGGTTTCATCAGAGTCCCCACAAAACTTCCTTCATTTCTGACAACAGTTGCAAGTTTGGGGGGTTCCTGAAACCACCCTCAATTTTGATTATTTGCGAAAAGGGCTCACAGAATTCATTTGAAATCTTTTATACTCACAGTTTATGGATTTACAGGGAATGGACACAGATGAAAAACAGCCAAGGGAAGTGATGCATGGGGCAGAGTCCAAAAGCACTAGGCAGATTTCCTATTGTCCTCTCCCATGGAGTTGGGGTATATTAGTCTCCAATACCATGTCATTCTTCATATGTGACAATATGCAGGGACCATGCCAACTGGGGTAACTCATTCAAGGCTTTGGTACTCAGAGATGTTATGGGGGCCCATTATATACTGCCTACATAGATGAACTTTGGTCTTCAGAACACTCAAGGGATCAGGCTGATACCTGTAGGAGAAAAAAACTTTTCCTTTGGTCTCTTAGGTTCAGAGGCTGGGCACCCAGTGTATTAAACTGAAGAAAGACAGATTTACAGGAGAAAAAACAAGACTTAATTACATATAAATGCATGGTAGCTCTGGAAGAATTGAGACTCAAGGACAAAGTTAAATTTGGGACTTATATAACCTCTTAAACTGGAAAAAAAGAAAAGGAATTAGTTGCTTTGGGGGCAGGAGTTTAAGTTATGAGAATGAGGGAAGGAAATATATGATAATTAAGGGTTGTGTTATACTTTGGATATGTGGTGTCCCTCAAAAGTTCATCTATGAGGCCCTGAAAGAATGTTCAGAGATGAAATGATTTAAGTACGGGAGCTGTGACCTAATCACTGAGTCAATCCATTGGATGTTTTAATCTAATAGGCAGGTGAGGTATAGCTGAAGGAAGCAGATCACTGGGGTGTGCCTTTGGGGTTTATACTTTGTCCCTGGTGAGTGAAGCATTCTCTCTCTCTCTCTCTCTCTCTCTCTCTCCCTCCCTCCCTCCCTCCCTCCAACACACTATCAGATGAAATAAGGTTGGCCAGTGATAAATATTGGAGTGGGGGGTCACTACATGTGTAGTGAAAAATTCTTAGGTCGTTTGCTGGGCATTTGGACCAATGGACATTCTAACAATAAAATTTATGATGGGGATTTTAGGCCATTGTATTATTTCTACCCTCTGGAAAAACTGGACTCTAAAGATGTGAAGGGAACCAGGCTGCGCCACCTGAAAATATGCCACTTTGGCATCAGGGTTATTTTGATCTGAAAGTGATTAGCTCTTCATCTTCTAAAATTAAGGCATACGTTTCCATTTATAAAGATATCTCCTCCTGACCCAGGAAGGGAACCACTTCAGATAGAACTCTTGGCATCTTACATGACTCTTACCTGCATAACATATCTTACTAACCAACCTGTTTTAGTTAGTTTTGCACCACTAATGAGAACAACTTAGAGAAGGAAAAGTTGATTTTGTCTCACATTTTCAGAGGTTTCAGTCCATGGTTGACTGAATCCATTACTTGGAGCCTAAGGTGAAGCAGGACATCATGGTGGAAGGGAATGGTGAAGGAAAACAACTCCAGACATGACTTCCAGGAAGGAGAGAGTGAGGGGGTGGGGAGAGGACACTCAGGAGAGCCAGCGAGTGCATGTGCTCAACTTCACTCACCAGGGAAAAAATATTAGCACCAAAGCCATGCCCCCAGTGATCTACTTCTTCTGGCCACTTAGTTACCACCCAGTTAATCAATTTAAGTGGATTAATTCACAAATTAAGTTACAGTTCTCAAAATCTAATCTTTGTACCTCTGAACACTCTTGCATTGTTTCACACATGAGCTTTTGTGGGACACCACATATCCAAACCATAACATTCTACCTTTGGCCCCTCCCTGAAATCTTGTGCCCATCTCACAATGGAAAATAAATTTAAATCTATTTCAAAGAGTTCTCATAATTTTAAATAGTTCGAGCATTGCCCCAAAGTCCAAGTTTAAAATATCTTCTGAGACTCAAGGAAATTATTAGCTGTGGGCTCCTGTCAAAATCAAAAGCAAGTTACATATATCCAATATATAATGGCAAACAGTGAACATTTCCATTCTAAAAGGAGAAATAGTAGCATAGAAAGAAGGGATGGAACCCAAACAGAAATGAAATCCATCTTGGCAAACATGGTCTGTAGCTCCATGTCCAGCATCAGGAGCACATGGCATCATGATATTCTCTCCAAAGGGCTTATGTAGCTCCACCTCTGTGGCCTTGCTGGTTGGTGTTCATATGACCTCTCTCTTGGCTTGTTTCTTTTCAATTTTTGCAGCTTTCTTTGGAAGACGTTCCATATTACTGACATCTTTTAATAACAGAGGTCTGCGCTGCAGTTTCAGTTTCCTTCTCACATCACCCTCTCAGAGGATGCCTACCAGGATTCTAACCCTGCTACACTTTGCCTGACCTCAAATGCCTTTCCTCTGAAATCTCAGTGGAAGCCTCCATAATCTCCTAACTCCAATATCCTAAATTCCTATAGAACCAGCACCAGCCTCCTGGGACCATGGCTTCAGGAGCCTCTGAGTCCTTGGGTCACTGAGCATGGTGAAACAACTTCCTAGGCCCCCTGTGCAAGCAGGGTGCTCCCATGGCCTCTTCTTAAAGGAATTCTGAATTTTATATCCTTGAGTCTGAGATGAGCATGGTCTTATTAATTTCTGAGATGCCCTAAAGCCATATTTCCTATTGTTTCCGAGTAAAGTACTTAGAATCTCTTTAGTTGATGTGATCTCTTTAACAACTACACCTTCATTTCCTCCAGTTTTATTTGCACTTTTCTGGCAAAAATTCAAGTTTTCAAATCTTTCTACTCTGCTTCCTGCTCCTGATTGTCACATAAACTTGGCTAAAAGCCTCCAGCGACATCCATGCCACCATCTAAATGCTGTGCTGCCTTGAAATTTCCTCTGCCAGATTAATTAGTCCATAACCTTTAAATTCAACCTCACAGAAAGTCTCTGGCCTCCAGTCCAGTTTCGAAAAAAGTCTTTCTTTCCCTCTGCAGCCTTATGAGCCCAATATTTACTGTCCACAGTACTATCAGCATTCTGATTTTCTGAGCTCCCACCAGAATGACCCTTAAACTCCAGTTATAACATCTGAAGCATTCCCATCTTGTGTCTCTAAAATTTTCAACATTCCTTCACAAACCATTTCCAAAGGCTTCTGAACCACATAGTCAGGCTAGTTACAACAATGAACACACTTCCTGGTACCAATTTCTGTTTTAATCAGCTTTGTGTTGCTGTGACCAAAAGACTTGACAAGAACAACTTACAATAGGAAGAAAACTGATTGTTCACAAAAACTGTTTATTAAATTCTTGGAAATTTTGTAATCCAGTTGTTAAATACAGCCATTATTTAAAAATTAAGTTGTATAAACTAATAATTATATTATCAATTAATTAGATAAAATGAAAACTTATTGCTCAAAACCCATACCTTTATAATTATTTTACTATTAGTATGTTCTTGATTTTATTTACATCCACTTTATCTGCCTGGTGAAAATTCTGTAGAACGACATGCTACTACACATCTGTCATGGTTTAGGTATGAGGTGTCCCACAGAAGCTCATGTGTGAGACAATGCAAGAAAGTTCATAGGTGATTGTGTTATGAGAGTTTTAACCCAATAAGTGAATTAATTCCCTAGTAGGAATTAACTGAGTGGTAAATGTAGGCAGGTAGGATATGGAGGTCAGTCATTGGGTGGCATGCCTTTGGGGTTCTTGGTGAATGGGGTTGTCTCTCTGCATCCTGATTGTCATGTCCTGAGCCACTTTCCTCTACCACACTCTTCCGCCATGATCTTCTGCCTCATTTTGGGCCCAGAGCAATGGAGCCAGTTGTTTAGGAATGAGACCTCTGAAACTGCAAGCCCCAAATAAACTTTTCTTCTTCTAAAACTGTTGTCACGTCTTTTGGTCACAGAACTGAAAAAGCTGACTAAAACAGTATTTCTTCCCGTTTTTATGTTCAGTGATATTATCTTGGTAACATTAAATTGATTGTGGCAAGACTAGTCATACCATCATACCATGGAAATCAGAAAATGCTATGAATCAGGACTTTTTTGATGGTCTTTGATTTTGAGAAGCATATTTCTGCTGATTCAGTTGTTATTAGAGCTGCTAATAGTATTTTATAGGTTATGGCAACTTTGGGTTAAAAGTATGATAAATTATTTCAAAACAAAAAGTACATCTAGAACTCATGAATCAGATGAAAACATTTTTTTTAAAGAGAGAGGAGAGAGAGAGAGAGAGAGAGAGAGAGAGAGAATTTTTAATATTTATTTTTTTAGTTATTGGCGGACATGACATCTCTGTATGTGGTGCTGAGGATCGAACCCGGGCCGCACGCATGCCAGGAGAGCGCGCTACCGCTTGAGCCACATCCCCAGCCCAAAAACATTTTTTTTTAAAAATTTTAACTCTTCATACAAATCTGTTTTGTGTAAGTCTGATTTTAATTTTAAATGTAAATTTATACAATGACACTCTAGTACTTCCTCTGACATTTTATGAAAATTGTGGAGATTGAACAAGAAACTAAGTAGTTTTTTGATTTATTTATAATTAAACATAAAATGAAAATAAAAATATATGTCATTAAAAATTTATCATAGGAAAGTAGTGTTCTTGTCTATTATGCATAATAATACTAAAATTTAATCTCTAATTCTGTGTATATTTACTTTGTAATGTTGTAGCAGTTTTCAAAACCTCAGATTCTAAACTCCTTGGAGAATTCCAATAAGTCCTTTTTATTCATAGTATTTAGGATACAACCTCAAAATATGGCAACTTTG